ATTGTATTATACTTGTTATTTGTTGGTATTTGATTTATACTTCTTAGTTGCTTAGAGATGCTACAACTTTTGTTTGTACATGTGTTTCTTTTTGTATGTTGTATGCATATGTGTGTGTGTGTGTGTGTGTGAGTTTTTGTAGGTGTGTGTGTGTGTTTTTGTTTAAGGATATGTATTTAACATACTGTAACCTGAAGTCTTTTCTCACAGAAGTCATTGCGTACGCTTTTAAAATGCAACCAAACCTGTAAGCCTGTGCAACAAAAATGAGTGATTTGTACTTTAGCAGTATATAAAATTATCCAAGAGCTTATTTTTTTTATTCCTATGAAAAAAATCACATTTGAATTATGTCATGCAATAAAGAAAGTCTAAATTCAGACCAAGGATTATTGAAGCTAGGAGTATTTTTCAGTGTGTTTCTTGGAATATGGATGAGGTGCTGGCGAAGACAAGCAAGTTGTTCTGTTATGCCCCACTTGTTTACATCGACTGCATTTGGTAGACTTGAATGGTACTGATGATTCAGTCGCAGGTATATGACTCTTCTTTTGTCTTCTTCCTTGTAAAATCTCTACATCGGAAGGTTTTGTGATCTCAGATTGTACATTTTCTGGTATTTCCCATGATTGTTGATCTCCCACGGTATTCACATGTCCTTCATATGTTTTCAACCATGTTTCCCTTGAATACCAATTTGAGCAGTAATCAGATTTCTGCAAATATCTCTTATTAATAGCAGCAATTGCATGTGGACAGGGCAATTCATCAAGTTGGAATTTCAGGCAGTCACAAGTTCTCTTCTTTAAGTCCACAATGAATTCGATTCCTTCACTATTTATTCTAGACAACATTGAGTCAAGGTTGAACACCTAACAAGGAATAAAAAATTAAAACAAATTATATTAGTGTATTTTTCCTTCAAAACGAAAAGTATGAATTTTTTTAAATGTAAGCAGTAAATCACTGCAACAGATCTAAAAAGCTGAAGTTAACAAATATACTCACAAACATTTTGCAAGCCAAGTCCATCTTCTTAGTCATCTCTTCTTCTGCCCATATTGATACTCTGTGAAAAGTTTCATTTGCCTTTTTTCTCCGTTCATAAAACCACTCTCCCAGCTTTTCTTGGATGAAATCTAACATTCTTAAAATAGGCATTTCTCTCCCTTTTAGTAAAACGGAATTCATTGATTCTACCATGTTTGTTGTTAGCATATCATAACGTCGCCGTGGAAACCACGATCGAGCCCATCTCTCAGGAGGCTCTTCCATTATTTAATTGTGTGTTTTCTTGTTAATACTTTTGAGTTGGGACATTAACTGATTAAAATCTTCACGTTTGTATGATATTGCAGCACTTTGAAAAAGATTTATTACCATGGCCTTTGCATGTCTTTGTTTTAAATTTTTCTCAAAGTGATATAGGCAGATACCATGGTGAGCTTCAGGAAAAACTCTTCTAATACCATTTGCGATCGATTGGTTTCTATCTGACAAGAAAACCAGTTCACGACGAACTTAATTGCTTTTCTCATTTCCCCAAAGAACCAAATGTATGCCTCATTGTTTTCTGAATCTGCTACACCAAAACATAAAGGAAAGATTTGATTGTTTGCATCCTTTGATACAGCAACAAATAGAACACCACGATATTTTGACTTCAAAAACGTTGCATCTACTGCAATAACAGGTCTACAGTAGGACCAACCAGCTAGTGATCCCGCAGGAGCAAAGAACAAGTAAGCAAATCTGTACATTGAAACATAGAAAAACAAATTATAAGGTTTGAAGTTTTTCAAATAGTAACATTTGAAATTTCAGGCTGATTGTTAGTATTGTTTTCCTTACCTATTGTGCGCATCTCTTTTTATGCTTGTGTACGTTCCTGGGTTTTTGGCCACCATCATGTGTAGGTATGAAGGAAGAATCTGGTAGTTCTCTTCAGGTGTTCCCCTTATGCAAGCAACAGCTTTTTGAATAGCACGCCATGCCCTGTGATAACCAATGTCAATTCCAAATTTCTTTTTCATTTCATTTTCTACAAAGGCTGGTGTAACCTCTATCTTTTTGTCTTGAACATGTTCTATAATTTGTTCGCTTATAAAATTTGATGTAGCATGCTTCTGATCTGATTTTCTTGCATCAACCGAGCATTCATGAATGTTATGATATTTTATCACCTTGAATAGTGTGGAATTTTTTATTCTGGTGGCACGTACATTCCAACCACATTTGTCCAAGATGCATTTCAGCTCGTATCTCTTGGAACATGATCTAACAGCAGTGAATTCAACTTTTTGATTTATCTCCAAGCTGCAGAAAAATTTAGTCATGTTTTCTTTGTTCTCAAAGATTGATCCAACTCTTACTTCCTCAGGTAATGCATCGTGCCTTAGTATTTTACATGGTGGAGATTCTTTGACCTTTCTCCTCACTCTTTTTCTTGATTTCTGAGAAGCAGAAGAACTTTCAGCAATTTCTTCAATTCTATGTGATGTTATCGGTATAAGCTCCATGTTTACTTCATCTTCATTGTTATTTATCATTGCAGAAGGTGAAAAAAAGCTTTGTTGGATTTTGTGTTGGTTGTCAATTTGCATTATTAGCTGTCCTTCTTCTTCTTGGTCATTGAGAAACTGGTATGAATTTATTGGCGGTAGGGGATAATTGTTGTGAAGGAGCTGTAATGATAGAAGGTTGTTGCCCTTTGTCTACTTCCATTACTGGATGTCTAGTTCATATTGATACTCAGCAATAGGCTCTGAATCTATTGCATATGCAAGAGATTGGTTGAATGCTGCTGATTCTGAAAGTTGTATTTTTTCGATGACAAAATGGCAATTCTTGTAGGGTGAATCAGTTGTAAGCAAATGTATACAGGTAGTGAGTTCTTCATCTGAAGTTACAAGCATTCCTTTGCTTGTATTTAGTTTGATATCAAACCATACTTTTAATGCATATCTGGTTGAATCTATATTTGCAAATTCACTAATTTTCTTCAGGAAAGTATTGAATGATATGTCCTTATTAAGTAGAACAAGTTTTGTGTCATGATCCAAGTATTTGAAATCAGGAGTCCATCTCCCATTGAATGTTATAACAACGCAAATCGAACTCATCCTGCAGATTCATGTTTAGTGGCAACTATTAGGAAAGTGAATAGAAGAATTTTTATGTTGTATGTGCTGAAGTTTTTACAAATAAACTAAATCACTTAGGCATCTTCTGCTGAAGTTTTTTTGGAAAAAGATCTATGACATAATTAATGAATTCTGCAAATAAAACTTCAGCTTATAACTGCTAAAGTTTTTAGAGATAACCTTAATAACTTCAGCATATTAGCTGAAGTTTTTTTTATCATGGTGATTCATAAATGCAGAGGAAAAAACTTCAGCAGGTACGTGCTGAAGATTTTAGAAATGAACTAAAAAACTTCAGGAGATTAATCTGAAGTTTTTTTTTACAGAAAACGATAGCATGTTTCAGCATTAATTACATAGTATACATCATTAATCTACACAATTAAAGTAGTAATTATATTGCGTTTGGGGGTATGTGTTAGTGTAATAAATACATTCCTATCATATTCATGCACGCTTTTCATTAGACAACCTTTAAAATTCCTTTTTGCCTTTTCATATACCATGCAAAAGTTTTTTCCCCCTATATAAGCACGCTATTCCTTCTGAGTTTATTCACTCAAACACATACATTTTAGCAGATATAAAATACAAAAAGGAGAAAAATGGATGCTGTCATTAGGCAAATAGTGGACGAGATCAAGCAAGACATAATGGAGGCATTTGAGTTGAAGATTGATGAGGTGATAGAAAAGTACGACAAGGAGCTCAAAGAAATTAACAACAAACTTTATACGCTTGTGATGTATGCAAGATTTGACAATCTTGCTGATGAAGATGCTCGTCCATCTGGAAGCGACAACGATGATGATGATGATGGAATGGACGATTAATTTTTTTGTTTTGTTTATTTATGTAATTTGTTTTTATATTTTATTGTGTTTTAATGAAATATTAAGTTTTTGTTATAAGTTTTTTCTGCGTTTCTTTTAATATTTATTCTATTTAAATCGAAAAATAGCAGAGGAAACGAACTATTCGAAGATTTTTTAGTAATAACAAAAAAAATTCAGCTGCTTATTCGAAGTTTTTTTAGTGCAGTATGATTTTTTAGTTTAGCTAGTGTAGGAGGAAAACTTCAGCCTCCTGCTGAAGTTTTTGAGTAATAACAAACAAACTTCAGCTGCTTGGCCGAAGTTTTTTTAGTGCAATATCATTTTTTAATTTAACCAGTGTAGGAGGAAAATTTCAGGCTCCTTCTGAAGTTTTTAAGTAATAAATGAAAAACTTCAGCTGTTAGGCCGAAGTTTTTTTAGTGCAATATGATTTTTTTAATTTAGCCAGTGTATGTGAAAAATATGCTGAAGTTTTTGAGTAATAACAAAAAAACTTCAGCTGCTTGGCCGAAGTTTTTTTAGTGCAATATCATTTTTTAATTTAACCAGTGTAGGAGGAAAATTTCAGGCTCCTTCTGAAGTTTTTAAGTAATAAATAAAAAACTTCAGCTGTTAGGCCGAAGTTTTTTTAGTGCAATATGATTTTTTAATTTAGCCAGTGTATGTGTAAAATATGCTGAAGTTTTTGAGTAATAACAAAAAAACTTCAGCTGCTTGGCCGAAGTTTTTTTAGTGCAATATCATTTTTTAATTTAATCAGTGTAAGAGGAAAATTTCAGGCTCCTTCTGAAGTTTTTAAGTAATAAATAAAAAACTTCAGCTGCTTGGCCGAAGTTTTTTTAGTGCAATATCATTTTTTAATTTAACCAGTGTAGGAGGAAAATTTCAGGCTCCTTCTGAAGTTTTTAAGTA